TTTGATAATCACTAATTTTAAATGCAATATTAAAAAAAAAACACAGTTGGAAGGATGGTGATTTTTTTTTTTTTCTGAATAAGGCAATTACATAACAACTATATGTTAGAGGGTGAAAAAGTAATGCTACTTGAGCCCTGCCAATGGGTCATGAACGTGGTTGGCTTGAAGGACAGAGTATGAATGAAGATTTAAACTTTCAAATTTAATCTTTTTAATATAATTTTAATCTTTTTATCTTCTTTATGAATAAGATATCAAGTTCTATTTAAGATTAAATTGTAGTAGTTAATAAGAAAATATTTTTGATATAATTAGACTTATTAATCTCCTATTAATCTGTCTAACACCCTATTCATAATTATAGATTAAATTAATTTCTTATTATATATTTAAAGATTAGTGTGTATTAATCCTAACTTTAAAAAAAATTTTGAAATCCCAACTTACATTAATTTAGAAGTTAAAATCTCAGTTTAAAATTTAAAAATTTAATATATTAAATATTAGTATTTAAAATTGAAAACTGATTATATAGAGATATTCTAATATAATTAGTTTTCAAATTTAAATATCAATATTTAGATTAAATGCATTTAATATCACGAATTCTACATAAATAAAAAAACTGATCATTTAAAAGGCAGTGCTATAGAGATAACTTTTTTATAGCTCATTTTCATACAACTTTCATATGTCATTAAATGAGTTGATGCATTTAATATCATGGGTTATATTTATATATGAATTAAAAGAACCGAACATTTAAATAATGTGTCAGGTTGTACCAAAAAATAATATAAAAAGATTGTTTCAAAATTATTTTCTTATATAATAAGATGAATTTTTAAATTTTAAATTGAATTTTAATTAAATAGAATGATTTGATTTAAAATTAAAACTTTAATTTATTTTAAGAGTTAATATTAATAGGCACTTTTTTCGTATGTTAATTTCTTAATGTGTATTTGCGCTCGTGGGTTCCACACCCATATCCATGATTATACATTGAATTAATTTCATATGATTAAATTCCTACTCTGTCTGTGGGTCCCACACTCCTATTCATTGTTATAGAGTAAATTAATCTCCTAATCTATGTGTCTCACCCCTTATGTTAAATGTAAATTACTTTT